GGGATGGCAGCGGCTTCAAATCAGGAAGCCACCGTATTGTCATTAGGTTTCAGAGATTTTGTTGTATGACTTGGAAATGAAAGTTCAGATTTCCTCTTTGAAGATGTCTCGGCTGAAACTTTCACTCCGGATTGAAGATCTTGTTTGGGGACATTATCAGCACCGGCTCTGATTTTTTGTTTCCATGACGGGGTCTACGTTTGACACTTTTTCGAGCCTTAAGAATTATGGAAGTTGGTATTTTGTTAAAAGATTCCAAATTGAAACCTGTCGATTCAAAAGGCGTTTTAGAGGACATACTCTGCGTATAGGAAACCTCCTCATCAAAAGCAGGGGAAACATCTTTACCAGGCTTAGAAACTATAAGAGCGTCTCCAACAAGGCATTTTCTTTTAAAAAGTGTGTTGTCTTCTAGATACTGGAGAACGTGACCTTTGCCTTTGTCCATCTGGTGAGTAATCTTTGTGAGAATTGTAGAGGAATCAGCTACAGTCTCGGTAATAGATTGTTGGACCCGGTGAATTCTAGCTCTCCTTTCCGTTTCATCAGCATGAGAGGAATATAGGAGAGCCATATGTTGATCCTGCCTTGATAATTTTGGAAACAGAGGAGGAAAGCCTGGTGGAGCGTCCATTCTTCTCTTTACAAGTTTAGAAACCACCATGGTTGTAGTAATATTAGGAATATTACTTGGACTTTGATGCTATTGTCTTGGCGATGGACGGTTCTTGCACAAAAGAGGACATGCGGCTTTCTCATGAGTAAGACGAAGTTAGTGTAAACATCTTTTATAAATCCTCTCATACTCGTACTCAATGTTCACCGATTGGGACTTTGAAATATTCAACACCTTCGTGTTCCTCGCAGGATAACTATATTAAAGTTGACTTGAGCTCTGATGTACTCTGTTTTGTGCGACACCTTGGGGTCATAAGCGAACTCTCCACTTTGCCTATGGCCTTGGCTAAAGTGTGCATCGTTTCGACTATGAAATACATGGCAGGGATGTGATTAATACGGATCCAAACATCAAAAGACGTTAAGAAATCAGGTGGAGGGTCAGGATGTCAGCGTTCCAGAAGCATAGTCCAATGGTTGTAAGACCATAGACGATCTCTGAGTACTGTTATGAGATCTTCCTCACGTTGAAAGTTAATTGAAACCGGTCTCTTGACAAAGCAATACCAAGCACTTTATCATAGACGGTCCATGCAGTAGGCATGTATTCAATCATCTTTGCCATTGATTGATATTCCGCGTTTAGAAGATGACCCAGCAAGCTTATCTTGTTTGCTTCCAACACCCTGAATCTGGGGCTATCGGGAAGGGTGATAGGTTCGTCATCCTCCAACGACATCGAGCCAAGAGCAGCGTGCAAATTATCCGTCATGGTAAATTTGCAGTTGACGAATACAAGATGGTAACGGNAGAGAAGAGGATGAGCACTAGGTAAAAGGTCGAGAGAGATCGTATTGAATTTGCATTTAAGAGTGCAATATTCAGCAACACACTTAAGGATGCTTATTGGGAGTTGGATTCTCGTAAAATTGATTGATTTGTAAAATCAATAGATTCTATTAAATTTGTAGAGAGTTTGTGTGTATTTAAAATGTTTAGTTGAAATAATCCAACCTGTTTTTTTTATAGCATCGAATTAGCATTCCCATAAATACTAACTCTCAACATGCTAAATTCTCAATCAACACAACCAGCGGAAATCATAAACAGATCAGCTCAAATCATCATTCACTCAACGAATAATCCAATAGTCAAATTCTAATAAACCAATCCAGTAATATTCCAATTCAACACTTAACCAAATTCAATAAAACCAGCAACCTAGCTGTTCTAAAACAATCC